AAAGGAAGGATAAAAGACTTTAAAGAGAAAACATGCCAAAAACTGAGTTCCGCCAGATTATCTGTTCTCGTTCTACGCAGCCGGAGACAATATTCCGATTCCAGGATTTCTGGTCTTGTCTGTTAGTCATCTTCCTGCTCCTCCACAAAACCTTCGTTTTCGGCAAATTCATTTTGTAGACGCACTACCTCCGCCAAGTCACGCTTCCGGATTCGCATTTTTTTGATGTGTTTGTACACAAAAACGATGATGAAGCAAACGCAGCATCCGGTACCAAAAAAGAAGACGGAAATCCCAGCGACGTAGCGAGGATGATCGTTGGTGTCTGTTCCTACTCCCCACATACAGCCTCCAATTAATAGACTGAGTACTGAAAGGCCGAACAGAGTGAAAAGTAACGGCTCCCCCTCAAACAGGAGCATTTTTGAAACTGCAAGGAGAAGGGAGCTGCCTTTGGCGTGGAGTAAACGAGATGTAGGGACACAACCTCCTGTCAACAGCAGCACCCAGAGAGTGGAGAACGCACTCCTCTCTTAGCAGGCTAGCAGACGCGACAATTGGTCATCTTCGGATTATCGATTTTTGTCGCGTGCGCACGCACTTGAGTTCATGCTCCGATTGCACCGTCAGTCGGCACTGGTAGACCACCAATGAAACATCAACAGCAGCGGATAAACAAGTGCTGATGATGCAACAGTGTGATTGGTTGCCTTTGCCGCCTTTTACAAAGTTAGCCGAGCTGGGATACACAAAGAAATGAGCTCAAGTAACTGCAATTTAACTAAGAGATAAGCCAAAAGTGTTGTGGTATTTGGCGTAAAACTCACTGTCTTCTCACTCTTTCTTGTCACCCGAACAACTGGCTTTTTTGAACTGAATGCCTGATTCCAAAGAGGTCTGGTGACTTCAGAATTCCTATGGGTGACCTTGCTGTCTAATCGAGTCCAGAGTACAGTTGTCCAAAATTGTTTTGGATGGTTGTCGTCAAATTTTCGTATTGTAGCCTTCCATAATCACATTCATAGTTGTGCATTTAAACGAAGCTGAATAATTGCCAATGAAAAGAATCAGATGTGATGGCTGGGACACGAATTGTATTCACCCGACTTTGCTTTGTCCGCAAGTGCACCAAATCCTATAGACATGTCCAAATGGTTTTTGTCGTGATAGTGGGTCTTTTGTTTTCATTAACTGAAGCCTTATGATTGCCTGGGGCCTGTGCACGATCCCAGGTGGTGAGAATAGGCGGCCGACGGCCTCCGAGACCTTCTTGACATATGTTCGATCCCGGGAAATCCTGCGGGCAAAGCAACTACGTCGGCGAAAGGGAAACATTTCTCCAGACGTTAATTGTCGAACACACGGCAGTAGTGCAAAGAAATTACGCCAATTCTCAATTCGCGGCTCATTCGACGAGACCCGGCCACACACATGCAAATGCTACGTGTCCGAAATTCTCGCGAAAGCTGACAGTTGTGTGAGTCAAAAGCTACTTGCGTCGTGGTTCACGAGCCCCGGTTTATAAACAAGTGCAACGACCTACCGGATCCATATTCTATGCTGCGGTTAAGTTTTACCAAAGCAATTTTCCACTCGGAGAACGCACGGGCAAAGGCCTCGTCTTAGGCCAGTGCCAGAGACGCAAATGGCTGAGCAGTCATCACGCCCAAGTCCACCACAGACGATGGAAGTCCAGGAGTTCAGAACCGACTCGCCGGCTATCAGCGCACAAGCGGGCAGGTATCCACCATAGGGGGAGCATTTAATTTTCATACGTATGCAATTACATAGCGACCATATCCTAGCAATACTGCAAATACTTGTGTATGCATTATCTGTTTTGCTAAGGGAACAGCGTTCCCTGGGACCAGTCATTTATTTGTCCAACGTTTCAATGTCTCACGCGAGCCCATTGTCAAAGAATGAAAAAATGTACAGCTCACTGCACATTTAACTTAGCTCTGCCGGGAGTGAACTTGACCTCTGCCCTCGATCTGTTCACGCTACGCGCGATAGGCATCAACAGGATCGATGTGCCTATTAGTTCAGTATAGTTCAGTATATTTAGGGTAGTAGGCAATGCCTTTGAA